CCTTTCTCTTTGAATTCACACCAACATTAAAAAGTCAATGTCTTTTGACTTTTTAATAATATCTATTCTGACAGGGGTAAGTGTTATCTCCTTGTGGTTTTGATTTGCATTTCCTGGATGGTTAGTGATGGTGAGCATTTTTTCATGTTTGTTGTCCATTTGTCTGTCTTCTTTTGAAAAACTTCTGTTCATGTATTTTGCCCACTTTTCAATGGGGTCTTTCTTTTTTTTTTTTTTTTTTTGCTGATTTATTGGGAGTTCTTTGTAGATTCTGGATATTAATCCTTTGTCAGATGTGTAGTTTGTAGAGTGAAGTGATTCCTAAAATCAAGCTAGTTAACACGTGCACCACTTCACATAGTTCACAGGGCTCCTTTTCTCTGTTCTTAGTAAATGCCCATGATTTAATACAGTGTTACTGACTATGTTCCTCATGCTGCACATTGGACAGTTGGTCTTATTCACCCTACATTACCGTAACTACCCCTGGACCGACATCTCTCTGCTTCTCCCTTTTCAGCCCCGGTGATCACCATTCTACTCTTTGGACATTTGACATTTTAGATTCTACATGTAAATAAGATGATGAGTATATTTCTTTCTGTTTATGGTTTATTTCACGTAGAGATCTCAAAACATGTGGCCACTTCCTTCTATGTCAGTTGAGAACCTCGTCCTCTACCTCACTCACCTCACTAGAAAATTGAGGGCATTTAACTTCAACTTCTATCTCCAAGTGTGCACTGTGTTCACTCATCACCTCTTCTCGTTATAGAAACACATCTTATTCCTTTCACTGTTGCTCTGACCCTCCTGGAACCTGCTCTATCAGTTTGTTCCCATTCTTTAGTGAGTTGTGACTCTTTTTCTTCACTGGCCTCTTTTTTGTAAGCTGTAAGTCTTCTCTACCCTGGAATCACCTTCCTGTGCTTTAGCTGTTCTGTGCACATAGCTAGCATCTTACAGGTCTCCTTATCCCCTCTTCCAAGTTCCTCAGTAGGGTGGTGTCCCTGTGCTGCTTTAACTGCTCACAAATCACCAACTCCCTGACCATTTGAAGTGTGTCTCCGTTGCCTGTGCAGCATTTTCAGTCCTGACCTTATTGGCTTCTTGTGTCAACACAGGGTACAGAGGAGAAGACAGTGACCCGATCGCCTTCTCCTGTTCTGTCATTTCCTATTTCTCTGTGCTCCACTAGCCCCTGAATAGCCGGGGATACACGAATTTTATTCTTATATGATTTTTTTTCTCACTGCCCCTCTTTCCCTCAGAAAGATACTCTTTGGGTATCTGCAGTTGTATATGTGATTCTTTCTTGAGCAACAAATTTAATTCACAACACCTCTGGACATCTTCAGACCTACAATGTGCAAGATTTAACTGAGTAACCCCTTTCTAATTTCAGTGTGGTTTCATATCTTGATTTGTAACATGGCTAACTTTTTAATCACTCAGGCATAGTTTATACATTAATTTCCCCCCCTTTTTTATATTTACCATATTTTAATGACAAATTTGCTTTTCCACTGCCTAACATGCCAACCACACTTTCTCTGGCTGAGGTCATCATAGTATCTGTCTTATACTGCTGTATAACTTTATATAACATCTACCAGGTCACCTGGTATTATAAAGTCATATCATGCAAGATATTTTACAATTTTTCTTTTGTTCAGATCTCTAATATCTTATTTTTTCCCTTGTATTAGGTCACAAGGCACCTGAAATTCCCAGGCATTTGTGATCTGGCCTAGTAAGCTGTGCACCCTCTCTGCATCCTGAAGCAGTAATTACCCAAGTTCCTGCATTTCCGTTAGCCAACATACTTACCTCTACTTAATTGTCTCTCAAAATTCTACTTACTCTCTGAGGCCCAATGAAAACAGAAGCTCCTTATTGACAGGCTCCCATCCCACCGTCAGTATAGATGCCCCATTTCTCCAATCCGGGCAAAATTAAATTCTACACATTTAAGCCAAAATGCTACATTGATAAGTAAATTTTATTCTTTTGTTTTTTGGCCAGGGCTGGGTTTGAACCTGCTACCTCCAGTATATGGAGCTGGTGCCCTACTCCACAGGCGCTGCCTCTAAGTAAATTTTATAAAAAAATCTCAGGAGGTTAAAATATGGGGTCTGAGACTTACTTGTGATCAGATGGAATCACTTAAGAAAAATCTGGGTTTAAATATTATCTTTACCATTAACAAACAATATGAAACAATATGATTTCAAGCTAATTAATTAACCTTCTGGTGTCTCCTTAGTTTAAACTCGGGGGGTTGGGGGGAGAGCTGTGTGGTGATGTCTCTGTGAAGATTATACAAGGTGATATCAGTGCTCAGTGCCTGGTACAAGGTCAGCACTAAGAAAAAGTGGCTATCATTATTACTATAATTCTACGCATGAAATAGAAAAAAAGAATCAATGTTTATAAGGTAAATAAATACCCAGGACACTCACAAAATTTTTATGATGGATTCACTGAGCATTCTGCCTGTACGAGACAGACATCCAGATTCTTCTCTGAGCTGTTCCATTATAGAGCAAGCCGTTCCATTATAGAGCATTTTATATTCAGTCCTCTGCATATAAAATATTGGTTTAAAGGGAATTGTTTATTTTTCCCTAGTCAAGTCCTTGGGTCTGGAAAGTCCTAGCAGTCTGCCTCACATGCCATCAGCATGGATGTGTCGCCATTTTCACCACCAAGTGCTGTGAATTCTCATGGCAGGAGGCATTGGCCATTGTGAGGCCTGTGTGCCTGTGCTCAGGTGGACAGGGAAATCCTCACGCCCACTGTGCCCTAATGACACCTAGTTGTGTCCATAGGAATTTGGGGACTAGGCCAGAGTGTCAGAGTGTCCCTGTCCTCCAGTAATTGTCCAGTTATTGGACAATTATGTTTCCTGGACAGGTTTTCCTTATCAGCTTGTGAATGGCTCCCTTGTTACAATGTACCTCAGAATTTCTGGGGAAAGATAATGGGTAGAAACAATTTTCTAATTATGTGGACTTCCTGGAATTGAAAGTCACTATTGATTTTATTTCAAACCACAAAATTAGCATGTCATTAAGTACAGTATATAAACAGCCGCTAAGGCAGAGAGACCGTCATCACTCACCTCACCTTCACATCTTCTCCTCCGCCTTGAAGGAAAGGTAAGAATTTCCCATGTGAAATCATGGTATTTTCTCCTATTGCTTTATTTCAAAGCAGCTGGAGCTATAGAAAGAATATAATTGCTTAAAATATAGTCTTTCAAATATAGGAATTGAAGTTAGTACTGAAAGTATTTTCAACAGTTAGATTTAAAAAATTGAAGTAGAAGGAACTTTTGTAAAAATTATAATGGTATATAGGCATCATGAGTCTAAGAAAATGTAATAACTAACTACATGTATTTATATTTAGCGCAAGTTTAGTTAGTATTAAGAGGAGTTTAATTTCTTGAATTAAATAAGTCTTATAATTTGATTTAACATAATGCAACCATGAAAATGAGCATCTTTAAATTGTAGTATAAAAAGGTGAATAATTATTGGGAAAGTTTTATCTAGCAGATAGTTTAGAGAGATACCATGGTGAGTTAAAAAGTGGTTTACATTAAATGTTCATAAACAACGTTTTTGGAAGCAGAGTATATTTATTAAACTTGCCTAGAACCTCCAGCTTTCCTGTTTGTCATCTAGTTTGTAATATTTCAAAATGATATTACAACAGTGACATGGAAAGACAAATTAACAAAAAGTGTTCCATTTTATAAGAAAATTCCAAATGAAGCAGAAATAACTTAGAAACAAAAAACAAAAATAAAAGGAAAAGTAGTTAGAGCATTATCAGTCAATAATAAAATTCTGTCTTACAAATAGTATTATAAAGTACTAATTATGAAATATAGAAAATACAGTGAGATCTTCCTTACATAGAATGATCTATAACAGAACACCACATCCATTATTTGAACTCTGGCAATAAAACAATTGTGTGGAAACTTTTGGAAGTCTTAGGCAAAGTAAAATCAATAAAGAATTATATAACATCCATAACAAAAGTTGGAAACAATATTTTCACTGATCGTGAAAACTATTTTCAGCCTTCAGATATTAGACATTTTTCAGATAAATTCGAGACTTTTTCATGCAGGGTTTTTAGTTCAGAAACTTAATTTAACATTTTGAGAAAATAAATTGAGTGTCAAGTGATATTATGGCACAAACATTATTTTTAAATAAATTATAGAAAATGCAATACAATCTAGCAAAGAATTCACAAGTAGTACATTTTGTTCAAAAATGTTAATGTACATTTCACAAGAAGAGGCAGTCCAGGGGTGCAGAGTGGGCAGGAGAACCTGACAGTGACAGTGATAGTGAGGAAGGAACATATATACACAGCATGTGGTCAGTCGCTGAAGTCAGGTGGCCTCAAGGAGGGCCACTGCCCGCTGTGTGGGGATGAAGGCTGCAGGTGGCTGTGAATGAACAAGAGGCAAGCCTATCCTTCCAAGAATGCATCTGAGTCACAGTGCAAATACAGAAAATGTTAAAGTGAGCATCTCAGTCTTTTGAGGAGATATGATTTGACTAAATATTCATGGCAACTATTTAGTAGAAGAAAAGTAAAAGTAAAGTTTGATTTTCCTTGCATGCATTTTCCTGGTAAGTCTTCTCCTGTGGGACTGAGACGCCATTAGGGCCGAGCCTTTAAAGTTCATCACTGCAGACTCAGCACCTAGACAGGTTGGTGATAAAAGTGCCAAGTACATATTTTGAAAGAATGATTCAATTCACAAATCTTTATGTGAAAAATTGTAACTTCTTTATACATGTCCAAAAAGAAACTTCATTTAAAACTTCCATTAATGTTTTTTCTCTAAAGTGCAGACATTTTTTATTAAATGTAATCTTTTTAAAGGAAAAGAGACTATACCTAAATAAGAAAACACACCTGAAAATGCGTCATGGCCCCCTTGTCTCCCATTTGCAGGACGTGAAGCCATGAAGGTTCTCATCCTTGCCTGCGTGGTGGCTCTTGCTCTTGCAAGGGAGGTACGTGAGGAAGAAAATCCTAAATAATTAAGCGATAACAGATTATCTGCTGACTTACAGAGAACGACATCATCAACACTTACTTTCACTGTGCAAGTAATGAAGGATTTCAGCAGAACTTTTTTGGCTTGTATAAAAACATTTATGCTCACCTGCTATTTCAAGCAGTCCTACAGGGCCCCAGGCTAGGTCAAGTGCTTCCTACACCTGTGTGCTGCCAAACTCTAAAGGAAAGGCAAATAAAACACAATAAGAAGAAACATAAAAACAGCAAAAAAGTATAATATTGCACAAACACACTTGCATGCATGTGCAACCTAGATAAATATTGCAGTTATGAAATATGGGTATGTCTTACTGTGGAGCACTGGTTCAGAGCTCATGTGGGCCTACCCCAAACATCAAAGGATGGGTCTAAGCAATAATCACAACCATCATCATAAATATATTCATATTCATAATAAAAATATGGACTACAAATTGAAGTAGCTCCCTGTCTGTTACCCGTCAAAAACTCTGGTCTTAATTCAGATAAAATAAAAATATACAGAAAAAGTTAGTAAACATAACAGACATTAAAGCAATTAACCTCTAAAAGTGTTTCAAAAACATACATTTTTTTATTTCTTAAATTTATAAAAGAATAGTTCTGCACAAAAGATACAAAAATTAACTAGGAAACATGTTTAGTAACGAATTAGCTATACAAGCTAAATGGTATTTTATCTTTACAGAAGGAAGATCTCAGTGTGTCCTCTGAGGTAAGATATTTTTATCTTAGAAAACTTACAGGGGGCGCCTGTAGCTCAGTGGTTAGGGTGCCAGCCACATGCTCTGGGGCTGGTGGGTTCAAACCTGACCTGGACCTACTAAGCAACAAATGAACAAAAAAAAAAAATTTATCAACCATGAAATGATAATATTCTCTGATATTCTAGAAAACATAGCTGATTGTTGATTTCTTTCCCACAGACTGTAGAAAACCTTTCAAGGAATGAGGTAAGAACCTCTTTCAGAGGCAATTTTCACATTTTAGAGCAGTAAACGTGGTGCTTTCCTATCAGTCCCATCAGCAGCCAAGCTAACACAGCTTTGCTGTGACATATAAGTTCTGATGTAAACATCCTTTTCATATGTATAAGAACAGAATAAAACACCTGGAGAATTCAGTATTCAGTGTTGTAGAACGTTCTAAGTTGGCTAGCTACTTGAAAATTTGTCGTTTGGCCTCCTTATTTTATTTTTTAATTTCAGAATATATGGGCACACATGCTTTGGTTACATAACTTGCTTTTGTACAATTTGAGTGAAAGTTATAAGTGAGCTCCTCACCCAGAGAGTGTGGGCACACATGCTTTGGTTACATAACTTGCTTTTGTACAATTTGAGTGAAAGTTATAAGTGAGCTCCTCACCCAGAGAGTGTGGGCTGCACTCGTCATGTGTGTGTTTACCCCCCACCCACACCCGGCCCCCACTCCCCACACTCCACCCACCCCTTCACCCCCACTGCTAGATTTCTGCTGTCTCTGCACATAATCTTTGACCAATTCATACCAATTTGGCATTGAGGGTATATGGTATCTGTTTTTCCATTCTTGCGACTCTTCTCTTAGAAGAGTGGTTATTTGATTTTTTATTTCTGCATTTTTAATCTCATATCAATACCAAAATACAAACAATTAGGTTACAGTGTTTGCATTTGTTAAGTAGTGTCCCTGTTGTAGTTGTGCCCTGCACCCTTCCATTTGACCCTGCAGTTCCATTACAAATCATTTTATTTTTTATAAAGGATCCATACAGTCCTGTGTTCTGTCTGGAACCCCTCCACTCGGACTGCATTCACCCTCCTGTGCCCAGACACTGGCTGGGAGTGGGGTGCAAACTGAAAAGAGAGGGTGTCCAGCGGGAGTTAGGAGCCTGCAGATAGTGGGCAGGCAGAGATGCAGTGGGATAGGTTTTGTAATTACCGGCCATGCTAGTTAATAAGGAGGAGTGGGATTCAGTGTGGTCCCAAATCACCTAAGAGGGCAGGTCCGGAATTCAGTCTTGCAGCACTCTTTCAAGGTATGTCCTCACCTCTTGAGTAGTCGTGCACCAAGATACCTTACCTCTTCCTTGGGGAAGTGTTTATTTCTTATAATTCATTTGAAGTCTGATATGCACCAGTGAACTAAGAATGATTAAGATAATGCATTAATTGCTATGAGGGTGTGTTTTCAATGAGTATTTGTTTTTTAGGATCAGATGAGGCTTTAGAGATCATTCTTGTCAGAGGGGGAAGCCTCCCTCTTGTCAGAGAAATCAGCCTCATTAGATGCCTCATTTTGGACTGTATTCCCTAATTTTCTTTCTCCTCTTGGTGGTCATCTGACTTTCTTTTACATATCAAGCTTATACAGAACAGTGTAAAGTATATATTTTAGCAATTATCCTCAGTTTTTAATGATATTACCAAAGTTTCCACATTAATCGGTGAAAAGACTTTATTTTCTGATTTATGTTGAAAAATAAGAATTTCTTTTTCACTAAAACTAAACTCCATTGTAATTTTTTATTTTTTGAAGGAATTTATTACACACAAGGTAAAACTTCCATACTTAAAATATACACATTTTCAACATTTCCTATGCTTGATTTTTACCGATGGTAATTTTTTTAATATGTGGTATGTTTTTAGCAGAAAATTGAGAAGGTTAAACATGAGGAACAGCAGCAAATGCAGGTAATTTTTCATTATATTTCTAAAATTGTAAAAGTAGAATACATTTGTAATAACACAGTTGTAATGTGCACGGTTAGTCTATAGAATGGTAATGAAATAAATGTCATGGACCTGCCCAGCAGGTGAGAAAGGAAACACTGGCAAAGTCAATATATTTTCTAAGAGATCAATGCATTTTAAACATGCAGTTAAAATCTAGACATAGAGAAAATGCCTAATGTTACTCTTAATGGCGCGTGTTTTCAATTGTGCACTTAGGCAGAACATTTCCAGGTCGGCACCTGTGTTTCTTCTCAGGGCATATACGGTATTGAAAAGCGGCAGGGCTGGGAAAAGATCAGGGCAGCGTCTGTACCACGTTGACTTATTCCCTTAGGGAAAGGGAAGATTTTATACTTAATTAAATTACATAATCATTAACACATTTACCTAAGTATAATATTTCAGCTTCCTTGTTTAGCAACAGATTACTTGGTGCTCACACAAAATAATTTTTGAATCAAACTGAAATTTAAAAATTGATGTCCCTTGAAAGACTTAAAAAACTACCTCTGCCAGAGGAAGAAATTCTGGAAGCCCGACAGTGTTAAGTGACTCACCGAATTTAGGCATGAATTAAAACTATTTTATTAAAACAAAACAAAAATAAACCTTGGCGTTACCCCGCTAAGGCTTTCAAACTCAGTACCCTTCATCACGTGGAAACGATGTGGTGTATTATCAACTTACGTGGAAAAGTCGGTGCTCTCTGAAGGCCAAGGTGCAGGGCTACAGCTATCCAGGCAACTTGGGGAAAAAGGAAAAAAAAATCACTGAAATCGGATTTCACTTTGTCCTGTATTCCACGAAGTGAGCGGGCAGGTTAAATACCTCTAAGAGCAGGTCACTCGTTTCACAGGACTTGAGATAATTTCTTAGTCACAGTAAGTGGAAGACTTTGTACTCAGTATGGTTGTCCAAAAGAGAGAAGATCAATTCATCATGAACGTCCGTAATAGCTGAATCATGGGCTCAGGGATTCTTTTTCCTTATTTCCAGGATGAACTCCAGGATAAAATCATCCGCTTCTTCCAGCCGCCCCCCGTGGTCGTCCCCTTCCCTCAGCAGGTGCCTTACGCGGTCCTCGCCCAGAACGCCCTGCCTCTTCCTCAGGTCGCTATGGCGCTGCCCGCCCTTCAGCCCGAAATAGTGGAGCTCCCGAAGGCGAAGGAGACCAGCTTTCCTAAGCACAAAGCGATGCCCTTCATTAAATCCCCAGCAATGCCCTTCTTTGAACCCCAAAACCTGAATCTGAAGCCTCTGGTGGTGCAGCTGCTCCAGCCCGCGATGCCGCAGGTCCCGCAGACTCACGCGTTTCCTCCTCAGCCCCTGTGGGCTCCGGCTCAGCCCAAAGTAGCTTTCCCTGAGCAACTGGCGCTCCAGCCCCAGAACGCCAGGCCGGTCCAAGCGCTTCTGCCAAACCAGGACTTTCTGGTTGACCTGACCCGCCAGCTCTTCCCCGCGACCCAGCAGCTCTACCCCTTGAACCAGCAGTTCTACCCCTTGAACCAGCAGCTCTACCCCGCGACCCAGCAGCTCTACCCCGCGACCCAACAGTTCTACCCCTTGAACCAGCAGCTCTACCCCGCGACCCAGCAGCTCGCCGCTGTGCACAACCCTGTCCTCGTGAGTCCGCATTTCCTTACCTTGCTGCTTGGCCTTTGATGGCTGTGTGCTGGTGGAATAGCGGAGATCTCTAGAATAAAGGGATAGATATGCAAGAACGGGGCCCAAAGGCACACAGTTCACATGAGTGACTCCCACACCTGGAAAGCTCCCACCCCCTCCACCCCTCACCCCAAATCCCAGTGCTAGGCCTCCTACTGAGATTTGATGCCACTGCTCTGATTCTGATCACAGAAGACTGTGGTTATTGGGGAGAAATTAGTGCAGGAATTCTTATTTACTTGGTCTGTGCAGAATTTTAATTTAGATAAAAAAGCTGAGGCTCACCTCACTAAAATCAGAATTAAATTTAATAATTCAATTGAGTTTGGCATAAAAGAAGACTTTTTTTTCCTATAGTTTGTAATTTTTCCCCAGGAATAGCTATTCCCCCAAAGGCTTCATCTACATCTTGTTTCGCTATAAGTACCCAGTGGTAAAAGACTAAGAAGCTGACTTCGTTAATCGCAGCATTTATAAGACAGGTGTTCTTAGCAAAAGATGAATTTACTTATTTGTATTTGCTTCTTTTTAAGGTCTAAGAGGATTTCAAAGTCTAACCCCCTTCTTCATTTTTGGTAAGTTTTGGGAGTTTGAAAATTAGACTGAGCACTTTTATATTTGATGTCTTCTAACATTTAATTCTAGAGAAGCCCAAGATACTGAGAAATTCCATCAATTCCCTAACTTATTAATGAGCAACTTATTCCTAATGGTTTACTATTATTTGTTGACATGAAATTATGTATATTTTACTCAAGTAAGTTTAATTTTATTTAAATTGAATGGCTTGCTATTCAGAGCCTATATATTTACATTTGAGTATTATTATTCAGGAGAATGAAAAAATAGGTTTCTTTTAATTTTATGTGAACATATTTGACCTTTTGTTAAAGCTTAATTTATATTCTTATTTCTTACACACCATAAATTTTGTACTTACTTCACTTGAAATTGTTTAATTCATGACTCAAAATGAAATTTTCCAGTCCAGGTGAGAGGATAGCTTGGGATTCTAAGATGCAAAGCTTCTCATTGCCATGTTAGCCTGGATATTCACAAAAACAATTCCAATTTAGCAAATACTTAGGTCTACAGAAACTTTGTATGTCTCCTAGGGAAAGCACAACAGAGTTTATTTGTAAAACAATTTCTTTTATGAATTACTCACACCAAAATTATAAAGGGTGAGAGGGGGATAGTTATGTCATATAACATGACTAATTCTGTATTTTCTCTCTATTTCACAGAATTGACTGAGACTGGAAACATGGCATCTTTTCCATCTTTGCATCGTGTCACCAAGAGCTAAATGTTTGAATCTACATAGATAACGTGAAACTTTATTTCTTTTTGAATTCACTTAATTTGAATTTGACTCACAAACTGCTTATGCTTTTCATATTTTAACTAATACCATCAAAGTTTAATATTGAGTTGCAACTAGTACAGAAACTATAAAAACAGCTTCTGGAATAGTGCCTTTTATTATTTATTTTCTGTCCAGTCATTTCAATAAATGATCTTTTAGCATATTTAAGTTGTCCTGTCTTTATTGTACTTTTTCAAATTTAGTTGTCCTCTGTAGGTTATTATTGATCAAATTCATCTTGATAGAATGCTCTCAAATTGAATAAAGTGCCATAAATTGAATATTAAGATATACCAAGAAGTCAAGTTTACTCTAGAAAGTCTTGGTTTACCCCGTTTTCCCAGTATACTTATTTGCCCCTGTGCTATTCACGTTCAAAAGTACCCAGGATCTGATGTTTAAAAAAAGCGGTGGTTGCCCCAGGACTAGAACTTCACATGTGAAGTATGAGCCATATTCTGCTGCCGACAGGTGGTGTGGGAGGGAGGTGTGGGAGCCAGTCTGGGCGAGCTTTGATGTCCGTGTGCACACAACAAGGTTTACTGGAGTTCGGACTGTGGGCTGTAGGTGATTTGCATGTACGCTGGTAGGAGATGAATGTGCACCCTGG